TGTATATTGATGCATATTACTTAAAATTCAAGATTACAAGTAATTATGCATAAGTACAACTTATTAAAGCTCGATGTTTGAATTCGTATAAATAACTGCACATAAACATAATTAAATAAAGGATGAACATCTCATTTTAAAATATAAAAAATCTAAAATCTAATTAGAATAATTATCAAGTTCCAACAAAATAAATAATTATTATCTTTATAAAAAAATTATGTTATTAAACCAAATATTAATTACTTCATTATTGTACATAAACTAAATTATAAAAAAATTGAATTAAAAAATTACACAAAAAAATGAGGAATTTCAAATAGTTAATTTGATAATAATATCGATATATTTTTGTCAAAATTTTATGATATCTTCAAACATATATTTTATTCAAAAATAAAAACATCATCGCTTTCTCAAAATCACATAAAACCATATTATAACATCAACTGAGATAAAAAAATAAAATGAAATATTAAAATTACGATATATCTCGCTGCATTGCATGAGTACGCTTCTAGTATATATTTATATATATATATATAATACTAATAATAATTAAATATAATATATTTTTAAAATTGATTTGATATTTTCTGAATTTTAAACTCAACACAATTTCCAACCCATTCAACACCCCCTATGGCACCCCCTTTGAATAATTGAAATACCAAAAATATTTAATGATTATATCAATAACAATAAAATAATAATTAAACATATATAGAGGAAAATACACAGCCACACAGGATCCTTACCCATTAGCGTCTTTTTCTACCCACCGGAACTCCGGTGGTGGTCATGCACTTCACTCCCCTTTCAATCACATTCGTCACCGTCCGCCGTCACCTCTCATCAATCGGAAACGGAATCTATGGTGGACTGACTTTCTAGCTTCAGCCTCTGCTCTGCTCCGGTGAATCACAAACACTCACCATTTCTGATCGATTTCACAGTTTCAGCCATTTCCTTCCCTATTGGTAATGGACAGCACTATCGTTTTCTCCACTGCATTCTCCCCATCTTCACGAATCTCCTTACACCTTCGATCCCGTCCACCACCCTTTTCCACCGCTAAATATCCACTCCACAAAACCCACTTTTTCTCTCCTCCGCCGATCACCACCACCACCACCACTTCCTCCTCCAATCCTCTCCGTCTCAGGTCCTCCCTTCTTACTCCACTCGCGAAACCCATCAGACCCTTTTCAGCATCATCGTCTAATGACGACAATTCGATCACAGAACCTCCGAAAACCCAATTACAAGGTGCAAAGATCGTACCTCTAGCACTCTCACTCGCAATCGGAATAGTCGTACGTTTCTTCATCCCCAAACCCGTTGAAGTCACGGAGCAAGCATGGCAGCTCCTCTCTATTTTCCTCTCCACCATCGCGGGGCTCGTTTTATCTCCATTGCCCGTCGGCGCGTGGGCTTTTCTTGGACTCACGACGACCGTCCTAACCAAAACGTTAACTTTTGAGACGGCATTTAGTGCCTTCACCAACGAAGTGATTTGGTTGATTGTGATTTCGTTCTTTTTCGCTCGTGGGTTCGTTAAGACTGGATTAGGGGATAGAATCGCGACTTATTTTGTCAAATGGTTAGGGAAGAGCACATTGGGGTTGTCTTATGGTTTGACGTTAAGTGAGGCATTGATTGCTCCGGCGATGCCTAGCACCACCGCCAGGGCCGGTGGTGTTTTCTTGCCTATTATTAAGTCGTTATCTCTGTCAGCCGGAAGTAAGCCCAATCATCCGTCTGCCAGGAAGCTTGGGTCTTATCTCATTCAGTCACAGTTGCAGGTTAGCGATGACTGAAATGCTGAATTCATTTTATCATATTTGCGTTGTTAGTGTAGAGCGCATTTGATATGCTTGCTGTTGATCGTGCGATCAAAAGATTTGAATAAACTTTTATATATATATATATATATATATATATATACACACATATACATATATATATACACACACCCCCACGCAGCATCGTGTGAGAAAAAGAGTTATTACGAGAAGCATAAGAAAGAGATCTGAATTCATTATCACTTTTAATCTCATGTCCACCAAGGATGGTGGTGTGCCCTAACCCGGTGGGGGAACCCGGCTCACCCGACCTGACCCGAACCGAACGGGGATTCCCCGCTAAAACGGGTCTTGATCCCCGGTAGACTTAAACCGGGGCCGGGGGATGTTTCTCAAACCGTGGTCGGTGCTGGGGCCGGGGATCCCTGTAGACTCAAACGAACATATATTTTTCATAGGGTTTGACCGGGTTTTACAAGGGACGGAATCTTAATCCCTGTACCCGCCGGGGGACCGTGGCCGGGGGCTATTACTAAGGGCTGGGGATTACAAAACCCGCCCCATCCCCGCCCTGTTACCATGCCTATGCCCATCCAGGAATTGCGCTTTAGAAGAAAATTGATCCGGTATATCTTGGTGCACCTGATTAGTGTTGACATTCAACTCCAATGCTAGAAATTTTTTCCTTCGCTTCTCACCATAACTTCTTCCGGAACCCAACCCTATATATATATATATATATATATATATATATATAGGTGGAGAGTTAAACGAGAACACCCTGTTTTACAAGGATGTGAGAATATTTACGGACCTCCAAATTATTTAACCCATAATTAAAATTAAAATTAAAAGAAAAATAAACTAATTAATTAAGGATTATCATGCGATTTCGTATTTATCTCTAATTTTGATGACATCCTTATCTCTAGAATCAAATACAGATAATATGTTAACCGGTATAAAATAATTATCACATTATTATCACAACAAAATCACATAATGAACAAACAGAGCGATGAATGTAGACGTGATCATCGCTGGTTTTCGATTATCATGACATTATCACATCGCTATCACAACAAAAATCACATAATTATTAAATGATTATCACATCATAAAAAAGTTTCAACTTATCAAATCATTATCACGAAAAAATCAGATAATTATCACAGTATTATCACATCATTATCGACAACGGGCGCATCAACATAAAAGGTTTTTGATGATAATAACAAAATCTAAGAGATAAAGGATAAATCTAGAATAACAGAAAATTATGAATAAATACTAATTAATTTTTCATTTATTCTAATTTTTATTATAAGTTAATTAATTTTGAGGCCTAAAAGTGTTCTATAAAAAGATTTGTTCATAGGACAGAACCCAAAAATGTCATATTAAAGCTAACAGGACGCTTCATTTCAAAAGAGTCCAAAAACTTGTTAGGATGTGCAAATACGTCATATGATCCTACTGTAACACCTCTATAGAGGAGGCATAATTGTTTGATCCTGTAAACTTAAGTCCCTTAAGACAGTCTATTAGACATCTTTGGCATCCTATAAAACCGATTTCGTTGTAGCGTCCTTAGGAAGTACGAGCTACGTGTTTGTTCGTATCTCTATTTCGTTAGCTTATGTTGTTGATTATGATCTATGACAGTGTGCTGGTAATTCTAGTGCTCTTTTTCTGACTGCTGCAGCACAAAATCTCTTGTGTCTGAAACTGGCCGAAGAACTCGGGGTCGTAATTGCAGACCCGTGGATTTCTTGGTTCAAGGCCGCTAGCTTACCTGCTTTCATTTCGCTTCTACTTACTCCGTATCTCTTGTACAAACTTTACCCTCCCGAAACAAAAGATACACCAGAGGCCCCTGCCATGGCTGCAAAGAAGCTCGACCTTATGGGTCCTGTCACGACTAACGAATGGGTGATGATTGCCACCATGCTTCTCGCCGTCTCTCTATGGGTATTTGGGTATGCAACACTTCAGTTTTCGGGTCATTCACCTTTTGAATCATCATCCTTGGCTTACAAAACCATCTTTCTTGTGAAAATGCAAAAACCAACACGATTTGCAGCAATAACGAGCGATTCTTGCTACAACAAAGTTGGTTTTGTAGAACGCTAGATGCGTCTAAATGTTGAATTTTTCTTAGGATGCACAATCGTTTGAAAGCAGTTTATTAGGACGTTTAGACATATTTGACGTCCTACAACACCAATTTGTTGTAGTGTCACTAGTGTATAAAGATGGTTTACCAAGAAAGATGGTTTTCTTGCAACAGAAACCAAGTCCAACGGTTGAAAAATTTGCTAGAATACGATATGCTAACGTGGTTCTAACTCTATGCAGGGATGCTACCGGAATATCCAGTGTTGTCACTGCAATGCTCGCCTTATCGGTCCTCCTGTTGTTAGGCGTACTTAATTGGGACGACTGCTTAACGGAAAAATCAGCATGGGACACTTTGGCTTGGTTTGCTGTACTTGTGGGCATGGCTGCACAATTAACCAATCTCGGAATAGTTACATGGATGTCGAACTGTGTTGCTAGTTCTCTAAAATCCTTATCATTAAGCTGGCCGGCTGCTTTTAGTGTTCTTCAAGCAGCTTATTTCTTGATCCACTACATGTTTGCAAGCCAAACCGGCCACGTGGGAGCTTTGTATTCCGCTTTTCTTGCTATGAATTTGGCAGCCGGGGTGCCTGGGGCGTTGGCGGCACTTGCCCTGGCTTATAATACAAACTTATTTGGTGCTTTAACTCATTATAGTAGCGGGCAGGCTGCTGTATACTTTGGAGGTGCGTCGCTTTATTTGGATTTCTCATTTCTTACGTTTATAGGACCAAAAATGTCCAAGTGCCATAACTGACCGCTTGTCCGTCGTATGTAGGTGTTGCAATAAGTTAATATGACACTTTTATGTCCTAAAAAACTTTTTAGGATGCCCAAGTACGTCTTTAACATCCTGTTGCAACATCTTTATATAGGACACATATTTGTTTGATCCTATAAAGCAGTCTATTAGGACATTTAAGGGGTGTTTGGTTGATTTTCCATTAAGTCCTGTATGGATAAAGCTGTCTGTGTGTATTAATCTGTCTGTATAGATAGGAAATGTTTTTGTTTGGAAGGGTTTTTCATAGATGGAAGAAGCGTGTTTTTTAATTGGGAGGGGCAGGTGTGGAAAAAACTTGAATTTCTGCATAAAGCTCTCCTCTAGAAGCTTATCGAATAAACCACTGCCAAACCATCATGTATAGCTGACCGAATAAGCTGTGAGTCCCATTAAGCTCTAACAAACAGGCCCCTACTATGCAACCGATTTCGTTGTAGTGCACCATATTTTCTGCAACTCTGAAGTGGCAACAGAGACTTGATTATTCCACATGAATGCATCAGGACTAAGTTTTAATTCTCTTCTCTTTTATTTTGCAACAGCTGGTTATGTAGACCTCCCGGATGTCTTCAGACTCGGGTTCATTATGGGCTGTGTTAACGCCGTCATCTGGGTGGTCGTTGGCGGTTTCTGGTGGAAATTTTTGGGGCTTTATTGATTTTCAAGTTCCATGTAAGTAGATATCTTTGTTTTGTTCATATCGTCCTTCATTCACAACACGCACAACCGTTTTTTTGAAAAGGGCTGATCTTTGGAAAGAGTCGGGATTGTTCAAGTGTAACGAAGAGAATCATATAGCTTGTTATAAAATGAAATCGATTCTTCTTTGTTCATGTCATTGTTATGTTTTCTTGTACCTGCTTCTGTTTTTACTGTATTTCTTGCTTTTAACTAGTCTTCATTCTTCTTTTCAACATTTCTTCATTTTTTTTTATCAACCTGGATATCCAACCCGCTATGCGAGCCGACTAATCCCAGGGCGACCATCTGTTTTGCAACATTCACCCACATTCTTAAAACTGGTTTATCATTGGTCTCGTTTGGTTTGGTTTGGTTTTGTTTGGTTTTATTATAAATGGTTAACATAAAACGTCTAACATATCATTGCGTGAATAGACAAAATCGGTCCATGTTCTCGTGTTTATTTTGAACAATCTATCAAGTTCTTTCATCTTATATGCTACAGAAACACAAGTAACAGGTACTTATTGAGATTAAATGCCGTTGTATACAATCACTCTTGCATCAGGTACGAACTCATAGAACGAGTTCTGGATCCAGATTTAGATGGTAACTATCGGTTGTGGTACGTTATTACTTGTGATAATCCGGGCTGCTACCATCCCAGCAGTCAAAGCAACTCCGAATATTGCATGCAATCGAACGCAGAAATATTTTGCCATAAATATCTTCGTTTTATCCTGAAAGAACGAATACCTTTTACCATCTTAACGATCTACATAACTTTCAGCGATTTTGCAACTCACCTGGTGGTTATCAGCAACGAAGCTGACCACGAGCTTGCCCATGGGTACTGTAAGTGCACACAGAAACTGCACGACAAAGTTCACGTCAGTTTTTGCACATTGTAGATGGGTGCTTTTGGTATTCGGACGGAACTGGACATGATAGGACTGGACTGGATTGGACGGGCAAGAGTGAAAGAAGTGTGGAAGGTTTTAGGTTTTAATTTAACACTGGTGGTTTAGTAATTTACCAATCTTGTCTCATTTCTCTTATTTTTGTTCCACTGGGACAAAAAATGTGCTTTTGTCTCACTCAGTTTTTGTCTTCTACTATCCCGTTCTGTCGTACCAAACGCAAAAAAACTCTACATTTGGATGGGAAAAAGACCATTTAAAAGGCTTACAATGGAAGTGATTGGAAGAGCTCTGCAAATGCCAAGAAGAATTACAAGGGAATAGAGGGAAATCACTGCCACTTTCACCACATTTGAACCTGTTTCTGTGCCAATCCTCACCTGTATACAAAGGAAACCCGAGCCGATTAGAGTCACTCAGGATGGAGGCGAAAGAGTGTATCAACTCATGGTAGACCCCGGCTCTGATACCATGTTAGAATATGTGGAACCCCTTTTAATCTCCAAAACGCCCTTATAGAGAGAGGAGGGGTTCGTACATATATACGGTTTTGATGGTCTGTATCTAGCTGATGTGGGACTCCAACAATATTTTCACACACATCCCGCTTAGACCATTGTAGTTCGAGGCTACTTACCAGTGGAGAGAATTTTCCGACAGCTTTATCGTCTGGAATCTGAGTTTGCAGATCAAGAAAACTTCAGGGAACTTGGAGAAATGATGAAAACCATATGAAAAGCAGTTATATATATACATACCTGATGAAAGTGACTACAAAAAAGAATAAGAGTTGTGGTAATGCCAACAAGGAGTGAAGCTGATAGAATCGTGGCGGTTATCGGTAGCCTCTCCACCGTTGTGCTACCGCCCTGCATCAGGTAAAAGGCGGTGGTTGCAAAAGGGCCGAATGCAGCAAAGCATAACGGTTCTCCCAAACCCCGGTAACTCAACCGGAAAGGCGGACACTGTAATGTGTTAGTTGTACTGTACAACTCAATTAATGCACAAGGAGAGCTTTTCATTTAATCTGCAATTTTGAGAATTAAAATTTGTTGTCCCAAAAATCCTCAAATTCCTTCCCTGTCCCACCAATCACTTGAATACACGTCATGTGATTAGTGGAACAGGACATGAGATTTGGGGACAACAAATTTTTACTGCGAGCATTGGTACCTGATATATGTATCCACAAGTGACGGCCGAAACCAGTAAAAGTATTGACCTTATGTTTCCGGCCTCCACCGATGCCCACACAAGCCCCATGGACCCCAAACCAAGTAACACCAATGCAGCGATCAGGGTCCCTGACCGACTGCATAGATATGGTCATTTAGTTAAACGACCTTAAAATTTGAAAAATACGTAGTAATCAATAAGAGATCGGTCGGTAAACACGTGGTAAACAATACCTACTTTGTAAAAGCGACTTTCATAGAAAGGTCATTTAGTTAAATAGCTCAACAGAGCGGTTAGAGCGAGAAAGACGGGAGAAAGGGATTCCTTGTAATCTACCTGCCAATCATGTTAACAACGGACTCTTTCTTGTTTACATCCGCTCCCGTATCAAAATCATAAACGTCGTTGCTGCCCAGATTACACGCCACATGAACACGTTTTTTTAGCGACAAATTAATGAAAAGCGTCTAATGAGTTTGGCGTCGTTATCACCTTAGATTGAGCCAAGTGATTATAAGAACCGATGAAGCTAAAAGCCGAACATATTGCTTGGCTGAACACAACCCCGTTTGCAGATAAGCTGCTGCAGTTCCCACCTGGAAGTTCAAAGGGTAAGAGGAAAGTTTAAAATTTGTTTACCTCTTAATAGTTCCATTAAGAGGCAACCTCTGAATCATTAATGAGGTGAATCTTGTTTTATAAAAAAAAGTTTGCTTCTTAATGGTTCTAAAACCCTTTGAATGATTTTGTATTCTGAATCTCCCTTAACCATTAAGAGCCCTAATTTCATTGAACACAATTTACTAAACAATTATATTTCATTTTGCATTATATTAGGAGAGCCTTTTAATCATTTTGACCACTTAACCATTCTGCACTAAAACATTCAGCAATTGCCAAAATTTGGAACAACTTACAGTTAGCGGAACCAGTGCAACGGAATATATTGGTAATTTGATTGCCCTCCATACTAAAGTTGCTTTAGAAACATCATCATGATCACCATCTTCATGAGCAGGATCGTCTGCTCGACTTCTGGGGGGAATCGGATGGTTTCTTCTTTGTCGATGGATCTCCAACGACCTTATATGATTCTTGTTGGCATATGATCGAGTGGTAGAACAGCATAATGACGAAGATCTTAAGTTACCCGATAACGAAACTATCGGGGAAAATCTAATGAAACAAAAACGAGAAAAGTCATACACAATGCTTACAGAATTTGAAATGGATCAGTTCCAGTTTTTATGAAGTTATTAGAGCATCGACAATGGAGCTTTTCGGAGAGCTTTTTGACCGATTTCAGACGTGATTCTGTACGTCGAAAATCACAAGTTCGTTTCGATTCTTACGAAAGTTTCTTGCAATTTCGAAACAATTTGAGAAATGGGATTGAAAAAAGCAAAGATTGAGAGAGAAATGGTGAGAAAAAGAGGGAATTTGCCTGGTGAGATTGAAGGTGTTTTGAAGATGAAAGTGAGACCTCCAATGACTTCGGTTGCAGGTTATGGGTACCATTTTTTGCAGGCTGCTCTTCCCACCACATACTCTTTCAAAGTGGAGGGAGAAGATAAGGATGTTTTACACTTAGACTCCTTGTACTTTGGAATAATTTTCAATAGGCCCTCATGGTTTTCATTTTAGCAAGATTTCCCCTTGTATTTAGAATTTATTTCTTCAACATGGGAAAAAAGCTAGCCCTATATAATATCCTACATTGCAGTCCCAGCAACAGCTATTAAAGAAGGGCTTTGTACAACTTAATGCTTACTTATCACGACCCGATCAATGGGTGATCAATAAGGCTCGTGGGTAAGGGAGAAAAGGTTTTGTTAGTCCCACATGGGTGGGTGACGTGTGGTGGTTGAAAGAGAGGTTAGAATAAAATGGTGGAGGTGGGCAARRGGAAAAAGCATCTTTGCGCTTGGGGCAATGACGCAGCTAATGAGGTAATAACCGAGGCACGTCAATTGCTGGTTGAAAACTATTTCCAAACCCCCTCGTTGGCTTTGGGTATTCCCCTTGGCCTTTGAGAATTTCTGGAAGGGTTTCCTTCATTGGAATAACCCTACAATTTTCTAGTTTAATAACTCTTGCTTTCGTTTCTCAAATTTTTCAGAAACAATCCTTCAAATTTCATTGTCGGTAGTAAAAGGTTTGTATAGGATGTTTTTGGACGTTTCAACAAGTGTTTTAAAATGATTTTTAAATAAAATGTCGTATTATTTATTTTATAGAAACATTTTGAGAAGTGTCCCGTAAACCCATCTATTTATATGACACATATGTTCATATGACACTTTTTCAAGTCGTGTTGTATAAAATAACTAATATGACACTTCATTTTAAAAGCTATCATAGAATCTGTTAAGACGTCCAAAATAATCTAATAAACATATTGTAATTCTTTTAGATAAGACATTTTTTTAATGTAACTCTTTAAAAACGTCGTAGATTGATGGATTCGTTCATCAAATATCTGTCAATATAATTCATATTTTCCAACATATAAATTTGTTGTTGCTGCAAAAAAAAAATTCAATAATTTTCCTTATTAATTAGATTATTTGTCATCATTCTTTGATCGAGAATCTCATTTGGTAATCTATATGTTTAGCTAAAATGTAACTAAACATAATATCAATAAAAATTATAAAAAATTTATGCATTATTAATATGTATATATACATAATAAAACACACACACACACACATATATATATATATATATATATATATAATTTTATCAAAATTATATATTAGCAAACTCGACCCAATTTCAACCCTCCTAATTGACGGGTGAGTGATTTAACGGTTAGACGGGTTGGATTTAATTGGGTTGTTAGCAGGTTGGGTTGAACGAGTTTCACGAATTGATGGTTTCTTGTACACCCTTACGTATATATAACTTTGATTATTTGCTATATCAATAGTTGTGTTGCACAAACAAAATATTGATGGAACGAATAAACAAATACCATTTGGCAGCTGCAGCTTCATTCCCACATCGCATGGTGAATGCAATGTAGAGTTCAAGCACTTCCATATTGATGCCTCTTCAATAGGCTTCAAAACTCACACAGCCATGTAACGAGCACAAAGCGAACTATTCTTTCGCCTTTTACTAAAGAATACCGTGTGCTCGTTACAATAGATGGCATATGCCTATTTTTGGAGAGGTTTCCTTTTCAGGAATGCTTCTAGCACTTAACAGTTCAGATCAATCCCAATTGATGAATGATTTTAAACTTCTAGTGACGGTAAATATGAAAACTTCATTGGATACTAAAAATTGATTCTTGACTAGTGATTTTCATAAAAACCAAGAAACAATTTCAATTAATTGTATGCACATGTACATATTGTCCATACATGCATATCAGACAACTTACAAGTCACCGGTATGCACATGTGCATATACCGGGATGCACATATGTATAGCGTCCAGATGAACGGTTAATACAGTGTTCTTCAGTTTTTTCATTTTTTGTTGTTTTCCCTTCAACTTGACCCTATATATAAACACACAGCCACACAGAGACACACACACACACACATATATATATATATATATATATACATATATTTTAGTTTTCCATCTCACGGGTGAATCATAATTATGAAGTCACTAACTTATTCATCAGTAAGCCATATGTGTTTACATTATGTTTTGTATACAAATTTCACAAATACCAATCCAGTATCACGTTATCTCGAACCAAGTTTTTGCTTGGCATTTCATCAAACAAGTTATGTGCAGTAAGATGAGTTAAAAGAGCACAAGGATACTTCATGTACTAAACTTATTAGGGTCAACCTTTTAGGAAAAAAAGAGAGACAAATCCATCCAACACGGCAAAAATATTTTGTGGAAGCCTTCATGTCAAAACCAATACATCTAACTAAAAACATGAGACCCCAACAGCGTTCGTACCGCAGAACACCTTCAGGTAATCGCATAACCTCACAGGCTATATGGGTAGCAGATTTTTGTTAGGGAACGATTTAAAGACTTGTTTGTGGACTGATCTATGGAAGAGATCCTGTACTTTTGCAGTCCGTTTTCCAAGACTCTGCGAGCTAGAAAATGCAAAACAGGTGCCTGTTGCGGACGGAGTTAAGGATGGAAGGTGCTGGTGGTGGCGTAGAACTATCCGAGATGGAAGAGAAGCTGAGGAATTCGTGCAGTTAATGGAGGCTATCGGGGATGTTTCTTTGATGGATTGACCAGCAGACCAGACAAATAGGGTTGGGATCTATCTTCTAATAGATCTTTGTGTTCTCGTTGAAAGAGTTCTTTTTTATGTATGGACATAAAGAGACGATTTGGATTTTGGAATGAGTTGGTTCCTTCAAGAGTCAACATTTTCTGTCATAAGTATAAGGGTGGTGTCTGATTGGTTTGAGCTTGACTCCAAAGGTCAAAGGTACCAAGAGGTCCGAAGTTCAAATCCAAGGAGGAATAAAAATTCTCTTGTAACCACGGAGGTTTAAATGCAGTGACTCCGGGCTATCTGCAAAGCAGGTGGTCGTCCTGAAATTCAATACTGCAGTCCCAACAAGAGCTATTAAATAAGGGTTTTGTACAACTTAATGCTTACTTATCWCGACCCGATCAATGGGTGATCAATAAGGCTCGTGGGTAAGGGAGAAAAGGTTTTGTTAGTCCCACATG